TGTTTTTGCACATGGTGAATTTGAGTCCCGCGCCCCCACTAATCAGGGCATAAGTGGTCCTCAGGGAGGTGAGTTGACTGATGACTGTGGTGAATAACAATTCCAAATGGTCAATGAATGTTTTCCCAGTTCAACTTTTGGGTTTACTCCCAAACTAAAGAATTTTTATTTGTGTGATGTGTTTCAACAAAACCATCAAATAGTACTATGTATCCACTAATCAGGCCACAAGTGGTCTGTAGGAGGTTGACCTTACTATGCAGTGGGATAAATAAGGAAGGCCAAACTCCCAAGATTATGATCAACATTCAAGTTTGGGGTTTCATTCCAACCTTTGAAATAAATCTTCACTTTACCAATGTAACTCACCAGTACATTCCGTTATGGAATGAATTCCATAACATGTTCATGTAAAACCACTGGGGCACACAGATAGTGCAATGTATTGAATCACTCACAGAACATGGCTACAAGCGGTTTAGGGTACCATCCTTCCCACAGCCATAAAAGTTGTTATAAAAGTTGTAATTTGAGCAATGTTTCTCTCAGGTACAGGCACATTACTGTCAAATTACTGAACACTCACATGTCTCAAACAAAAATAAGATGTGGTCTTGCATAGAATTTGATTAGCCAAAATTGTTCTATGATACAAGGCTCACAAGTTTCACAATGACCTCATTACCAATAGTGCACATCCTCACATTATGATTGCTATTTCAACACCAAAATTAGTTCTTTTGGCTCCTTTGGTCACAAATTGGAAGGGTGTTCAAATATGAGGAAAATCAATCTGAACGTGAGTCTTGAGATTGAGTCATTAAGCCTTTTGTTCACCTCTGTCTTGAGGTCTCATAAGTTCAAGCACCAAAACTTGATTTGGTTTGTAATTATGCTCAGGTCTAAAATACCCTCATACACATGAAGGATGTACTCAGATGGCCCCCACATCCCGCCAGACACGCCAGAAATATTCAAACCCAATGTACTATTAATGCTTATTTTGAATCTCCAGCATCCAACCACAATATCATGATGAAAATGTGGTTGGACTACTATATGCATGTGTTTGCGTGTACTATATCAGGGGTAGTCAAAACTCGTGAAACTGGTCCAAAAAGTGTCCAAGTGTG